AGAAAACCGTTACTTAGGGCCACAGAATTGTTACTCAGGGACACAGAATTGTTACTAGACTGAGGCCACAGAACCGTTACTTAGGGCCACAGAATTGTTACTCAGGGACAGACACAGAATGTTTACTCAGGGACACAGAATTGTTACTGAGGGCCACAGAACCGTTACTTAGGGCCACAGAATTGTTACTCAGGGACAGACACAGAATGTGTTACTCAGGGACACAGAATTGTTTACTGAGGGCCACAGAACCGTTACTTAGGGCCACAGAATTGTTACTCAGGGACACAGAATTGTGTTACTGAGGCCACAGAAACCGTTACTTAGGGCCACAGAATTGTTACTCAGGGACACAGAATTGTTACTCAGGGACACCGAATAGTTTAATTAAAGAGTATGTCAGACAACATGCAGAGGAGTGGCAGAGGAGGCAATGTTTTAGGAGCAGCGAGCAGACGTGGCAGCAGAGGAAGGGGTCGAGGCAGCACTATTCGCAGCACAGAGGCTAGTGCTCCCGGTGTCATCCAGTACAGTGAGGAAGAGCTAACAGAGGGCGGTCAGGAACGGGGGGAGACTCCGCCTCTTCAGCAGCCAGGCGAAGAAGTAGTGGCGAGGAGAGTGGCTCGGTAGCCGGTGTAGAGACAGGTCTGTCTCCTGACCCACAACGCAGCCGAGGGGGCTAGTAGTGAGGCGGAGACCCTAATTGATTGATGATGAGGCTGATCGCACTTGGCAGCCTCGTCGTCATCAGGCTATTGCTTCCGCATCATCAGGAGAAGAGGGTGGCAGCTTGGCAGCGAACAAAACAGTCGGTGGGTTGTCTCCAATCGCCACACTCTGCCATGTGGGCCACTTTCAGGTCTCCTCACACACTGCTGGTGTGTTGAATTTTTTGACATAGGGTGCTGGCAGATTACGGGCCTCCCATAGCTGCTGCCAGGCCCCTAATCTGCCATGGGCCCCTATAACCGCCAAGTCTCCTCATAAAACGGCTGCTGCCAGGTCCACAGTCTCTCATGCCATGTGCCACTTTCAGGTCTCCTCACACTGCTGGTGTGTTGAATTTTTTGACATAGGGTGCTGGCAGATTACGGGCCTCCCATAGCTGCTGCCAGGCCCCTAATCTGCCATGGGCCCCTATAAAAATACCGCCTCCTCATGCTGCTGCCAAGTCCAGAGTCTGTCATGGGTCCCTGTACGGCCTCCCATTGCTGCTGTCTCCATCGCCACATTCTGCCATGTGCCACTTTCAGGTCTCCTCACACACTGCTGGTGTGTTGAATTTTTTGACATAGGGTGCTGGCAGATTACGGGCCTCCCATAGCTGCTGCCAGGCCCCTAATCTGCCATGGGCCCCCTATACCGCATCCTCATGCTGCTGCCAGGTCCACAGTCTCTCATGCCATGTGCCACTTTCAGGTCTCCTCACACTGCTGGGTGTGTTGAATTTTTTGACATAGGATGCTGGCAGATTACGGGCCTCCCATAAGCTGCTGCCAGGCCCCTAATCTGCCATGGGCCCCTATATACCGCCTCCTCATGCTGCTGCCAAGTCCAGAGTCTGTCATAGGTCCCTGTACGGCCTCCCATTGCTGCTGTCTCCATCGCCACACTCTGCCATGTGCCACTTTATGGTCTCCTCACACACTGCTGGTGTGTTTGAATTTTTGACATAGGGTGCTGGCAGATTACGGGCCTCCCATAGCTGCTGCCAGGCCCCTAATCGGCCATGGGCCCCTATACCGCAATGCCTCCTCATGCTGCTGCCAGGTCCACAGTCCTCTCATAGCCATGTGCCACTTTCAGGTCTCCTCACACTGCTGGTGTGTTTCAATTTTTTGTCATAGGGTGCTGGCAGATTACGGGCCTCCCATAGCTGCTGCCAGGCCCCTAATCTGCCATGGGCCCCTATACCGATCTCCATATACCGCCTCCTCATCTGCTGCTGCCCAAGTCCAGAGTCTGTCATGGGTCCCTGTACGGCCTCCCATTGCTGCTGTCTCCATCGCCACACACTCTGCCATGTGCCACTTTCAGGTCTCCTCACACTGCTGCTGTGTGTGAATTTTTTGACATAGGATGCTGGCAGATTACGGGCCTCCCATAGCTGCTGCCAGGCCCCTAATCTGCCATGGGGGCCCCTATACCACCTCCTCATGCTGCTGCCCAAGGTCCAGAGTCTGTCATGGGTCCCTGTACGGCCTCCCATTGCTGCTGTCTCCATCGCCACACTCTGCCATGTGCCACTTTCAGGTCTCCTCACACACTGCTGGTGTGTTGAATTTTTTGACATAGGGTGCTGGCAGATTACGGGCCTCCCATAGCTGCTGCCAGGCCCCTAATCTGCCATGGGCCCCGCCTACTCATGCTGCTGCAAGTCCACCAGAGTCCGCCTCCCATGCTGCTGCCAGGTCCACAGTCTCTCATGCCATGTGCCACTTTCAGGTCTCCTCACACACTGCTGTGTGTTCAATTTTTTGACATAGGGTGCTGGCAGATTACGGGCCTCCCATAGCTGCTGCCAGGCCCCTAATCTGCCATGGGCCCCTATATACCGCCTCACCTCATGCTGCTGCCAAGTCCAGAGTCTGTCATGGGTCCCTGTACGGCCTCCCATTGCTGCTGTCTCCATCGCCACACTCTGCCATGTGCCACTTTCAGGTCTCCTCACACACTGCTGGTGTGTTGAATTTTTTGACATAGGGTGCTGGCAGATTACGGGCCTCCCATAGCTGCTGCCAGGCCCCTAATCTGCCATGGGCCCCTATACCGCCTCCTCATGCTGCTGCCAGGTCCACAGTCTCTCATGCCATGTGCCACTTTCAGGTCTCCTCACACACTGCTGGTGTGTTGAATTTTTTGACATAGGGTGCTGGCAGATTTACGGGCCTCCCCATAGCTGCTGCCAGGCCCCTAATCTGCCATGGGCCCCCCCGTACCGACTCCTCATGCTGTGACGTTGCAACAAGGATGGAATTCAACCCTACATATGTTAGACCGCCTTTAACGAACAGCAATAAGGCCATCACAGATTTCCTGATGTTAAAAGCGGATAAAGGTACTCCCTGTGTAACTTCGATGTCAGCCATTGGCAGCTCATGCGTGACACCTGCGCTTGCTCAGGCCCTTTGAGGAGGCCACGCTATTCGTGAGTCGGCAGGACTATGGGATGAACGACGTCATTCCTCTGTTGCACGTCCTGGAACAAATGCTGTTAATAATGGCTGGTCAGGGTGCGGTAGATGTGGCGCACAGATCTCAACGCCACATGACCCCTGTGGGGGCAGGACAGGAAGAAGAGGAGGAGGTAGAGGAGGACATTGGTGCTCAGGAATTATTGAGTGAAATGGGTGGTTTTTCCACTCAGCGGACAGGAGTGGAGGAGCAGGAGCATCTGGTAGAGGAGAGGAGAAGAAGAGGAGACAGAGGACCCAGACGCACCGTGGCAGTATGCTGTGGAGATGGAGGCAGGGAGTCCCTCGCATTCCTTGGCACAAATGGCCCATAGCATGCTCGCTTGCTTGCGTACCGACAGCCGAATAATAACCATCAGACAGAGGGATGACTTTTGCTGTCCACCTTGTTGGACCCTCGCTACCGTTCCAAAATGGTGGCCCCTTTTTCACACCTGCTGAGAGGGAGGCCAAAATAACGTACTATAAAAACCACCTATGTAGTCAGCTGGTCTCTGCCTGTCTGCGCCAAAGTCCATCCTCAGACACTGTGGGCCCTGTGTGCGCTCGCGTTACGCTGCCATGGCAGCAGGGGAGGGGGGGGGTGGTAGGAGCAGTGGCAGCTCCACCAGCAGCAGCTGCCTCAGTCTGCAGTCGATGATGAGTAGCTTTCTTCACCAGCACAGTGAGGAAACTAATAACCAGCCGCAGCAGCAGCAGCACAGCATCAGGTGGACCTGGAGCAGGACCTCAAACAACAGGCTTAGGCCTACTTGGACAGCACCCTGCCAACCGAGGTAGACAATCCCCTTGACTACTGGGCAACGAAACTTGACCTTTGGCCCCAACTAGCTGAATTTGCCCTTGAAAGGCTGTCATGCCCGGCCAGTAGCGTGGCATCGGAGCGCGTGTTTTAGTGCGGCAGGAGGTATTGCAACTCCGCGGAGGACACGACTGTCCACCCAAAGTGTGGAGAGACTCACGTTTGTGAAAATGAATCAGGCGTGGATTAGTCTGGATTTCAAACCACCAGTTCCTGACACAACTGACTAAATCCGCCATGAATCATGCCCCAAACATGTGCCACTTTCAGGTCTCCTCACACTGCTGGTGTGTTCCATTTTTTGTCATAGGGTGCTGGCAGATTACGGGCCTCCCATAAGCTGCTGCCAGGCCCCTAATCTGCCATGGGCCCCTATACCGCCTCCTCATGCTGCTGCCAAGTCCAGAGTCTCTCATGGGTCCCTGTACGGCCTCCCATTGCTGCTGTCTCCATCGCCACACTCTGCCATGTGCCACTTTCAGGTCTCCTCACACTGCTGGTGTGTTCAATTTTTGTCATAGGGTGCTGGCAGATTACGGGCCTCCCATAGCTGCTGCCAGGCCCCTAATCTGCCATAGGCCCCTATATACCGCCTCCTCATGCTGCTGCCAAGTCCAGAGTCTCTCATGGGTCCCTGTACGGCCTTCCCATTGCTGCTGTCTCCATCGCCACACTCTGCCATGTGCCACTTTCAGGTCTCCTCACACACTGCTGTTGTGTTCAATTTTTTGACATAGGGTGCTGGCAGATTACGGGCCTCCCATAGCTGCTGCCAGGCCCCTAATCTGCCATGGGCCCCTATATACCGCCCTCCTCATGCTGCTGCCAGGTCCAGAGTCTGTCATGGGTCCCTGTACGGCCTCCCATTGCTGCTGTCTCCATCGCCACACTCTGCAATGTGCCACTTTCAGGTCTCCTCACACTGCTGGTGTGTTGAATTTTTTGACATAGGGTGCTGGCAGATTACGGGCCTCCCATAGCTGCTGCCAGGCCCCTAATCTGCCATGGGCCCCTATACCGCCTCCTCATGCTGCTGCCAGGTCCAGAGTCTCTCATGGGTCCCTGTACGGCCTCCCATTGCTGCTGTCTCCATCGCCACACACTCTGCCATGTGCCACTTTCAGGTCTCCTCACACAAACTGCTGGTGTGTTGAATTTTTTGTCATAGGGTGCTGGCAGATTACGGGCCTCCTATAGCTGCTGCCAGGCCCCTAATCTGCCATGGGCCCCTTATACCGCCTCCTCATGCTGCTGCCAGGTCCAGAGTCTCTCATGGGTCCCTGTACGGCCTCCCATTGCTGCTGTCTCTCCATCGCCACACTCTGCCATGTGCCACTTTCAGGTCTCCTCACACACTGCTGGTGTGTTCCATTTTTTTGTCATAGGGTGCTGACAGATTACGGGCCTCCCATTGCTGCTGCCAGGCCTGTAATCTGCCATGGGCCCCCGTACCGCCTGGTCACGCTGCTGCTGGGTCCACACTGTGACATGGGTCCCTGTACCGCCTCCCATTGCTCCCACTCTGCCATGTGCCACTTTGAGGTCTCCTCACACTCCTGCTGTTTTCCATTTTGTCATAGGTTGCTGGCAGATTACAGGCCTCCCATAGGTGCTGCCAGGCCCCAAATCTGCCATGGGCCCCCGTACCGCCTCGTCACGCTGCTGCTGGGTCCACAGTGTGACATGGGTCCCTGTACCGCCTCCCATTGCTCCCACTCTGCCATGTGCCACTTTGAGGTCTCCTCACACTCCTGCTGGTTTCCATTTTGTCATAGGTTGCTGTATGGCCTCCCATTGCTGCTGCCTCCACCGCCACACTGTGGCTCCAAACACTGGTTTTGGCCCCGTGACTGGCCAAATGAGTGAAGTGTGCGGTGATTCTAAGATCGACGGCACTCATCTGCATGTCATACTGACTGACAGTATTATTTCTCTTCCCCAGCAGACCCCAAGGGCATTTAAATTAAAGGTACAGTGTTCTGCACTAATATTATGTCTCTCTGAAGCCTAGAAACACCCTTTTTTAAGTTAAATTCACAGCGAATATATTCGACTCGAATCGAATATTGTCCACGAATTCGCCGAATCAGTCGAATCGAATTTTTGAATACTTCGCTCATCTCTACTTATGCACATGCAGTATCAAAAAAAGTAACTTGTGCAATTTGTTAGACACAGGCCAAGCTGAAGTGCAGAGATGTCTGCTTGTCATACTGGAATGAAGGGGTTATTTTTTTTTACTTGAAATGCTTTATCCTACGAGAAAACAGCCAAGTGTGGATGGGTGGTCATTAAGCAGATATATGATTGCAAGTCTACATTTTATGACAGCAGTAATAGGATCAGCTCCAAGATGTTCTGCCTCTAGGATTTAAAAGTAACTGACCCTTGCCTCGGGCCCTCATTTTTATGAAGCTACCCCCCCCCCCCCCCCTCCTTAGTTAAATACAGTATAGAGTATTTTGTTTTCCCGGCTGCTCACCCCTAGCCTATTTATTGACTGTATTTTTTCCATAGAACGGGTAAAGGTTCATTTTGCTTTTAGATGACACCAAAAACTTTTAGTCGGCTATATACATTTTGACCTCCAGACTCAGTATAATACAGACATAGACTGTATATATTTAGTGTTATCACATTATACTTTGTTCATGCAGATTGTGTCACTGTTGTTATCACTTCTTTAAAGAGGAGCTCCAAGCAAACTGGTGTTCATTAAAAGTCAGCAGTTATAAAAAGTGTAGCTGCTGACTTTTAATAAACAGACACTTACCCGTCCCTCGATCCAGTTATGTCCTCACTGGAGCCATTCTTTACATCACTGTCCTGTCCCTGGCATCAGCATGTCAGCTATAGGCATCTGGCTGTGACAACTTGCGACTTCACAGCCGGGTGTCACTGCACATGCGCGAGCCAAGATGCTTGCTATGGTGGCACACCTGTGGGCTCGCTTCTAAGCCGGGCTCTGTGAATCCATAGACACAGATAGCACGGTTTGGCCCCGCCTCCCACTCCTTTATCACAGAATTTGAATGACAGCAGCAGTAGCTTTTGACTCTCTCAGCCTCAGCATAGCCTGTGAGAGTGGGGAGAGACAGGCACAGCGCTGGATCGAGTGAGGTAAGTATAAGGCGGTAGAGAGGGCATACTAATACCTAAAAATAATTTTATCTTAACGCAGGGAATGCAATAAGGTAAACATATGTTTAGGCTTTAGAACCAATTTATGATCCTGTAATTGTCTGTGTGAAGGCAGACATGAAATTTGTGTACTTAGCTGCACACCTCCCAACTCTCTGTGATAAGAAAGAGTGACACTTTTTGGTATAAGGTATGAAAGCAAAGGACACATCTCTGCGATGCTCCAAGTCACATGGCCCATGAAGAACTGATACTCAAGAAATGAGCAGTTAAACCCATAAGTGATTTATTTTCTCCACTATGTTTTTCCTTTTCAAACTAAAAAATTTACCCATTTAGAGTAACACCCTGGTCACATCAAGCCCAACTTTGAAATCGTTCGACTTACAGTGAAGTCGCACGATTTCAAAGTCGGGGGACATGCTGATTTCAGGTGCAATTTGTAAGACATCTGACAAAGATGTCTATGCAAATCACACCAAAAGTAGTGCATGAACTACTTTAGAAATCAGTGTGGCTCAGACCAAGTAAGAACAGCACCGATTTGACCATTGTAATTGCGGACAATAGGGTGTGACTTGGTATTCGATTTGCAAGTTGCATGGCATGCAAATCGCATGCCAAGTCACACCCGATGTGACCTGGGTGTAAGGGTCTCCAAAGTTTTAAATAAAAGGCCACATCATATGTTTTACAAATTTTTTTTCGAATTTGGTCAAATGTTTTTTGAATTTGGTCATATCAAATTCATCGTGAATAGCTGGATGGTAATGAGCGGACTGTCGCATATCCTTAACAACCCTGACTCATCTGCTGTCAGCAGGATTTCCCACTGACAGCAGAATGTAAGCAAACTAATGTTAGCATTCAAATAATTAAAAAAAAAACAGTGTGGGGGTCCCCCAATCCCTATCAGGCCCTTCGCGTCTGGTATAGATTTTGAGGGGAACCCCATGCCAAAAGTTTTTTACAAACTTGTGTGGGGTCCTCCCCCCTCAAATCCATAACAGAACCTTATCGGAGCGTTTTGAGGATAGGGGGGCTCCCCCCCAAGCACCTTGTTCCTGTGCGGTGGCTGTAGGGGTCTGTTGTCGGGGGACTTATCAGAATCTGGGAGCTCCCTTTAACAAAGGGGCCTTCAAATCCCACCCCCCGTGTCAATGAATATGTACCCCTACTCATTCACCCAGAAAATGTCAAAAGTAAATAAAAACACACTTTTTGACAAGTCCTTTATTTAAAAAAAAACCCACAAAGTAGATCCAACGTCAATCATGATGAACGCCAACCCACATGAAAAAAGAAACCTGCTATCTGCCAAATACAACGTCCAGGGACATTCAAAGAATGACAGGTAAACATGGGGGCAGGGTTGCCTTTTGGAGTACTCTGCACCCTCATCCCTCATGTTTGAAGCACTGCAAAAAATCTACAAAAGGACATCCACTAGACTGAGCCTGTGTTTGCCAGTGTGCTTGTAACTGGTGTCTGTGGCTGGCAGCCTCTGAACAGGTAAAGGGAGATCTGCGTCATTCTCAGAGGCCTGTAGAGCAGGCAGGTGACACTCTCTCCATGTTTCCCTACTCACTGGGTGCTAAGTTTGGGTTATATGAGAGGCCTACCCTGGGGTGGGTTCTTCTGGGCTATGCTAGGCACCTGTAACAGGATCTCTGCTTCACATAGGGGGTACCTTTACTCTGTTTTCATCAGCGCCCTGGGAAACAGGCCACCGTCTGGGAATACTCAACCTTAATGTGAGCATCTACTCTTAGAAATTATTATTAATATTATATTATTATACAGGATTTATATAGCGCCAACAGTTTGCGCAGCGCTTTACAATATAAGGGAGACAGTACAATTACAATACATTTCAGAACAGAAGGAATATGAGGGCCCTGCTCGTGGAGCTTACAATCTAAAGGAAGGGGGAGGTGATACAAAAGGTGATAGCTGGGGGGGATGATCTGGTGGAGGTGATTCAAGTACAGTTCTCAGGTGGAGATGGGGTAGGCTTCTCTGAATAAGTGAGTTTCCAAAGATTGCCTAAAGGCAGACAGGGTGGGGGCTGACCGGGCATACTGTGGTAGGAAGTTCCAGAGGAACCTTGGGGTACCCCAACGGAAAGAGGAGAGGCGCGGGAGGAGGAGTTGTATGTGACGCTCAAAGTGCCCTGAGAAAGGTAAGAGGAAAACCAAAGAAAGAGCAGAGTCATGGAGACCGATGGAGTGGAGTTTACTGAGGAGGAGCGGGTGGTCAACTGTGTCAAAGGCAGCGGAAAGGTAAGGAGTATGAGTATGGAGTAATGGCCATTGGTTTTAGCAGTTAGTAGGTCATTAGTGAGTTTTAGTAGGGCAGTTTCAGTGGAATATTGTGGGTGGAAGCCAGACTGTTGGGGATCAAGAAGGTTGTTGTCGGTGAGCTAGCAGTTCATACGGTTGTGAACAAGGCACTCGAGAAGCTTGGAGGCAAACGGGAGCAGGGAGATGGGTCTTAGGTTATTCAAACAGGTGGGGTCCAGCGAGGGTTTTTTGAGGATGGGGGTAACCAGTGCATGTTTGAGTGGGGAGGGAAAGGTGCCCATGGAGAGTGAGAGGTTGAAGATGTGGGTTAGAGAGTTTAGGATAGAGCAGGAAGGAGGCTGCAAAAGTTGTGAGGGGACAGGATCCAGGGGACAGGTGGTGAAGTGGGCCTTGGAAAGGAGTTCGGTAACTTCCTTGGTGGTAACAGAGTTGAAGGAGGAGAGTGTAGAGTTTGGTGTTGGGCCTGGTATGTTGGTTAGAGGAGGAAGCTTGACACTGGAGATCTCATCACGAATTGTGTCGATCTTCTCCTTGAAGTGACTGGCAATCTCCTGTGCAGTAAGTAAGTAGGTGGGTGGAGGCAGTGAGGGGTGGAGTAAGGAATTAAGGGTAGAAAAGTGTTGATGAGGATTGGATGAGAGGGTCTTGATGAGAGTGTTATAGTAGGTTTGCTTAACAGCGTGGAGGCTGGAGTTGTATTTGAGAAGAGCGGATTTGTAGAGGGTAAAGTCTTTCAGGGATTTAGTTTTAGTGAGATCTCTTGAGACTTCTGCTGTCATCTGTTTGCCAGGGTCGTGACAGGCGAGGCCTCGTTCTGCGTGTAGAGAGAGGAGCAAGAGCGTCCAGGGAGGATGATATATAGTTGTTGTAGGCAGATGTGGCCAGGCCTGGGCAGGACAGGGGTGCAATTTTATCATACAGGTGCTCTGTAGCAGAGTGAAGAAGGTCAGGGCTGAGGTGGTGGAGGTTTCTACAGGTAATGGTTTGCTGGTTGGAGGCATGGGAGGTAGGAGGCAGGGAGAGTGTGAAGTTGATAAAGTTGTGATCAGAGAGAGGAAAAGGGGTGTTACAGAGGTTACAGGGAGTGCATAGGTGGGAGAATACCAGGTCGAGGGTGTTGCCGTTGGAGTGGGTGGTGGATTGTGTCCATTGTTTTAGGTTAAAAGAGGAAGTTAG